TGTGGGGATCTGGGCCCTGACTCTGAGGTGTGGGGATCTGGGCCCTCATCACGAGGTACCCACATGCATTTCTTACTAACAAAGGCAGATATGTGAATTTCCAGAAGGCTCAGCAACCTGCTGTTGCTGCTGCTGCTGAGAAAGGAGTGAATTTGAGGAATGGTCAGTGTTTGTGGTTCCATCCTTAAGGAGTGAGGAGGGGCAGAGACAGAGAGGAGAAAGAGAAGGAGGAGCAAGCTGAGGAACAGAAGCATAGGAGGATGTGGAGCAGGGGCAGGGGATTCAGCCGGGTCCTCACCGAGCCCTGGGAGCAGTGGTCCGTCTCTCCGCTGTTGAAGAGAGTCATGTCTTTGATGAAGACAGCAGTGGCCCTCAGGATGAAGGACATAAAGAGATGCATATGGATGTAGTTTCGGGTACAGTGTAGCTTCCTGCAAGGGGCAGATCCATCTGGGATGAGCAGGGGCCTTGGACCACCCCACCCTGATTGGTGCCATACCGGTAGATCAGGTAGGTGGTGGGAAGATGTGTGGCCCCCAACCCTGTGTTACAGGCCCTTCCTCCAAGGTGACAACCCTCAGTCCCAACTTCCTGGGCATCAAGAGTGTTTTGGCAGGCTTTCCCTCAGGTGTCTGGTATAGAGGAAAGGGAACAAGACTCTAGAGGCTACATCTTGGCCACCTGCTGTTGAGGCTGGGATGGTTAGCCTGGCGGAGGCAAGGGCGGGGACTGGGAGCTGTCTGAGGGTTAGACAATGGAGGGGCACACTGGGGCTCTACCTCACCTGAACAGGCTCAGGATAGTCATGGCAATCAGGAGGCTGGCGAGGGACAGGCCGTAGCCGATGGTGTAGCCAGTCTTCACCGCGCTGTAGAACTCCGTCTGTTGTTGCTGGGGGGAGGCAGGCAAGGATTTTGGGTCGGAGTTGGGAGATTGTTGGTGGAGGATAGGCTGGCTTATAGACTCTCCTGATGCCCCTGCCTCACACAAGGAAGATGTCCTCAGGACTCCCAAGAGGAGCTAAGCCCCGGTTTTTATAAATGCATGGACCGTGTGCCCAGAGTGTCCACAGTGGGTCCTTCTTTCTGCTGTGCACGCTGGATGTCAGCATGGGAACGAACAGAACTTAAAACTTCCTCCCACTTGTCACCCACTCATTTATTTTTTTTAAAAAACAGACTTTTGGGAATCTCCCTGTATAACCCAGGCTAGCCTCAAACTCATGATCTTTTTGCCCCAGCCTCTCAAGTGCTGGGATTACAGATATAGAGAGGCAAACCAGCATGGGGGTTTCTATTGCAATTTTGGCTGCTCTGAGGACAGTCCCCCACTTGGGTGTGAGCCTATGAAAGTCCTGTGTGTACCCTGTTGGGGGAGCCAGGGGGCAAGGCCTTGGGAGTGTGAGCCTGAGGAAGGTAGACCTCAGGGTGGACAGAGGCCCAAGGCTCCCTCACCTCAACCACACTAGATGCACCATCTTCCATTCCACAGGCAATGTAGTAGGAGCTGGGCTCCAGCTGTGACCAACCTTCTTCAGAGCAGCTGCGGCTGACGTTGCGTCCTGGAAGCAGGTGATGGGCAGAGAAAAGATATGGTGGCGCTTAGAGCCAGGAGGCAGGAAGCAGGGCTCAGGGTGCTGGGCACAGGGTGCAGGGCACAGGGCACAGAACTTAGTCTTGCTCACACCATGCCCTGGTGCTACTGGGTTCCAGCTCCCAGACCCAGGCCCTCGGGGTTCCCCTGAGGTGAGAAGTTCCCACAGGGCATCTGGGGGCCCCATGACAGGCTCAGTGCAGACATTACCATGCCTTCATTTTACAAAATGGAATTTAGATCCTTCTTTTTTTTTTTGTGCAAACACAGAGGCAGGAAGACTCTGGTTTGTGTACACAGTCACGGCCACCTGTGCAGCACCAACCCAAAGGCGCAGACGGATGAGTGACGTAGTCACACACAGAAAGGTATCATGCTCTCTATGTACAAGAGCACATTAAGAACATGTGGGCCCACGGAGAGAGCCAGGCCATGTCAGAAGAACCAGGCAATAAATGGCCAAACACACCCAGACCAAGGAAGAGTTCAAAAACCTCCCTCACCTGGACCCCATAAGGAGCAGGACACCTAACATGAGGGTGGCCCCACCGACCTGTTATCTGAACACCCAGTGTGTGCGCGCCAAGGCACAGAAAATGCCTCACTGTCCCCGAGGCTGGAGCTCAGCATGTTTTCCACGGCTTGGCATGGCCCACTTGAATTCTGTCCACCTGTCCATTCATCTACTTGTCTGTCTGTCCATCCAACCGTACCTGGTCTTATGTCTTGCCTCAATGGTTCCGTACCTTTGCCAGACTGGGCACTGTGTCTGTAATCTGCCACCTGGGACTTTACTGACTCGTTTAACCACCTGATTTATTTTTTTTCCATCTCTGCCAACTCTGCCTTTAATGCGTCTCTGTGTTGAGAATGCTGGGACTGCAGACGCCCTCCACATGTCTGTATTTACAAGGGCGCTGGGAAACCGCACTGAAGTGTTCACGTTTGCGCAGCCAGAGTTTCCCCCAGAGGTGTCTCCCCAGCCCTCCCGCAAGTATTGTATCCAGCCACAGTAGAAGACTTCCTTCTAACCCCTCTTATTTTTAGCTTCTGTAAGAACCGACACTCCTTGTAGCGGGCATGCTTTCCTCAGCCCTGTCACCCCAAAGGACAGGAGTGGGGATTGGCATCACCCTTCACCCACTCTTGCAAATGCCCCCTTGGGACCGAAGGCCGACGGCTTACACCCTTTCATCCACACTCTCTCCGGTCACTAGCCAGAGTCTCCCAGTTCTCTCCATCTGCTCCAGAACTACAGTAATTTTAACTGAGTATTGTATTATTAACAGATTAATAATAAGAATAGTTTTATTATTTTAATAGATAATAAAAAGTTTGGCTGCATAGGCTGTTCACCTCACAAGGTCATTTGGCTGCTGGGTCCTGGGGGCTGAAATCTTCATATCAGGTGCGCTCTGAGGTGAGGGCTGTGCCTACGGAATGGTAGCTCATTCACATCCCCTCAGAAACTCAACACTAGGGCTCCCCCCTCTTCCTCCCTCTCAGAACCTCTGCCCATTTACTACATATCTGTTTACGGTCTCACTTAAAGGTGTGACCGTAGCACCGTGACTCCCAGAGGCCAGGCAGGCAGCAGTTTCCAAAGTCCCTTCCCACGGTGTAGCACGGGGCATGGAGTGATGGGAGGTACCCTCATCTGTGGACTGATCGTGGGCTGGGGGTCCTAAGGGGGCCTCCTTTCCCTTTCTGTCTTACATGTGAACATTTGATCAAACAGAGCATGACAAGGTACGTAAACAAAGCCGTGTGGCGGTTTCCTAGGGCGCTAAAAGTCATCTGTCCCAGGTTGTTACAGACTGAGTCATAACCAAGACAACAGAACATGGGAGGCATAACTCAATCTGACCTGCCAGTCAATCAGTTATCAATTGCTGGGCAAATATTTAGCGAGCCCTTCCCACATGCTTATCTCCATGTGAAGAGCTAATCAAATCCCGCGAGTCCTCTGGATGCCATTCCTGGCCACGAAGCCCCCTCGCTGGCCCCACTCACTCGGGCCTTCAGCCCAGGCTCTTTACCGTGAATCGAGGAGAAGAGCTGGAAGATGAGAGGACAGCTCAGGACCACCACCTGGCCCCGCGGAGTACTTGGCCAACAGGTGAGGTTGTCCCACATCTTGCTGCAGCCTGTGGGGTGAAAGCAGAGGACACACTGTCATCAAATGGGCACCGTGAGCACACTCTTCCTCCTCTTTCTCTTAGAGGGTCTCCTGTCGAGTGGAGGTCATGTCTGTCCATGCTGCAGAGGTCCTTTTCTGATGGGAAGGAAAAGAGGGTCCTCTCCCCATAAGGGATGGAGCTTCCTTCCCCACACGGCATCATTTACTTATTTTAGACAGGGCCTTGGGTAGCCCCGGTTGGACCTGTGGAAGACCCTGGGTTTCTGGTCCTCCTATCTCTAGCTCCTGAGTGTTGTTGGAGCTACAGGTGTGCGCTACTATACCCCATTTATACAATGCTAGGGATCAAACCCAGGGCTTGTTGTGCTTGCTAACCGCCAACCAAGCTACATCCACATTTGAGAGACAAGCACCAGAGATGCCAGGCAGGTAGCCTAGCTGGTTCTGCTCCATGGCATACTGTCTCTCATCCTGGATGAGCTACTGGGCACTTGTATAGGTGTCAATCTTTTTGAGTGGCGAGAGCTGAGGTTTTGGCATCCGAGGGCTCCAGAGCAGTGGCTTTGATTCTGTGGAGCGTTCTGGGAAAGCCGACCCTGGGAAAAGGGAGCAAAGCCTGTTTGCACTGTGTTCTGAACTTAACCGAGAGTTGGTCAAAGTGTGAGACGGTCATGTCACCTACCGCCGGGCTATCTGAGTCAGTGTCGAGCACAGCTGTATACTCCAATCCACGTTTACAGCTCTCTCGTTCCCAGAGCTTATATTTATAGGCACAACCTTCAGACTGTCTCCTCTATGGTTTACAGCCATCACGCCTGCACACGCACACGGCACTTGATACGTCACCCTCCTTTCTGTTTTTTCTTTTATAGAGCGCCGTATATTTCTGGCAGCACAATGAGCGGCCTTCATTCTTATGGTTTGTGAGAAAACAGACATTTAGATTTCAAAATCTTCTATTACCAAATTACCGGCAGCTGTTTCAAGCAATTCAACCCCACAGTTCGAGCCTGCCTCCTCAACACAAACAAGGCTATTCACCCACATTCAAACAGCAAGCTCCATCCCAAGAGGCTCTGTTAGAGACCATCATTGTTTAAAAACACAAGTATGCGTCTTCTGAATTGTGTTCTATACTAGTAAATGCAGCAGCGGAGATGTTCCCGTGAGACGCCGGGTACAGTGGAGCGCACCGGCTCTTCACAGAGCTTGCATGCAATACATTGTGATCTGGCTGGTGAGCATGCCAAGGGGCACCTCCTGGGGGTCTACAAAACTAGGTATCCCTGGGGTAAGACAGCTCCTCTGGACACCTCTCCTGAAGGAGGCTGTCTTTTGCAATGCTGCCAGCCCCAATGATTTGCTCAGGAAACCCAACCCCAGAGTCAAAGTCAATGCCATCCGGGCCAAGCCCAGACCAGCCCAGGTCCGAAGGTTCACAAGTTCCCAAGAAGGGGGCCTGGGAAGAGGAGGTGGAGGGATGTACCCACCTGGGAGGAGAGCCTCTGGACTCTCAGGGCTGTGATCATGTGGCAGTCAAGGAGGGGAGTGGGGGGTGGGGGGACCTCCTGGTGCTGCAGCTGTACCTGCAGTGAAAGCTAAGGAAGTCTTCCTGGGGGCTGACCACTTTAACATGTCCCTTATCTATCCTGAGCCCCATGGTTTGCTGCTTTGGCTGATGGTTCATCTTGGGCTCCTAGGAGGACGTACAGCAACCCCCCAGGCTGGGAAAACCTGCTCATGATTTAGAACCTGTTTCAATGAACATCAGCAAGCTCTAGGTCTGGAATGTGCCAACATTGTTTCAGTCTCTACATAAATAGCTTATATAGCCGGTCCATTTCACAGATGAGGAAATGGAGGCAAGGCGGCAGGATGAGGTGTGGCCGAGCCGCTTGCCTGTTCACACATTCCTCTCCTGGTTTTCAGGGCTTGGTAGCATTTCTCTGGGAAACTGGCCGCTGCTGGACTTTCTGTACCCAGGCTGACAGTGCTGGGCACACCCTGTTTTGCAGACCAGCTATTGTGTCTGGGTCCCTGCCAGACCTGGCTTTCAGAGTTGCCAGCCTGAGCTGGGGGCGGGGGCGGGGGCGGGGGCTGGGGCGGGGGTGCTGGGCCCTGTGCTCAGCTTCACCAGAGGTGAGACAGAACAGAAGGGCACTGGGCTATGCTTTGTGGGCACTCTGCATTTGGCATCAAATGCTGTGAACTGGTACCGGGCCCAGGTCATCAAGCAGACAAGGGACCTGAGGAAGACTTACGGGGTGCTGGTTAGGAAGCTCCTTGCAGAGGGCAGCTCAGCGCTGGTTTGCTGGGGTTACTGGGCTGGGAAGCATGGATAAGTGACAGTCATGAAAACACTTGGTTTCTAGAAATGACTGTCTGAGAGATGTGTGCCCATTCAGGGCTAAGACCCCAATAGGAAAACCAACTAAGAGGCTGAGAAGGCAGGCAGGCACAAAGCCCCCAGTAAGTCAATTTTATAAAATTTTCCATCCATAATGACACATACATGTACTTCCAGGCATACTGTCCCCAGACATACATGCAAACATACATGAATGGGCATGGGAAGGCCACCACGTGAGCAGACATGGAGAGACACAGTGTACAGACCGAACACACGCTGATGCACTTAGAAGCAGGCAGAGTGGCAGACTGGAGGGGCAGGCGCAGCCTCAGACAGACATGGGCCAGAGGTGCCCACCTGTGCCCACGCCAATGTGTACAGAGCCTCAGTAGCTGCCAGGGCAGACCTGAAATCTGTAACCTATGCCTGCCTTCTTCCAGATCCCGGGATGATTGCTGTGTACAGGGCGTTGGCACTGCACAGGCACCCTGTGCCAGTGGTGACCTCATTGAATTCATGAGGGTGGCCAGTTCCCATTCTGGGGACAGGTCTGGAGAGGAGTTGCAGTGGGGTGAGCTCTGGAGTCTGGGCTTCCTGGGTTTCCTCCGCCATCTTGAGGCCTGCCCAGACCAGCCTGCAGTTGGCAGCATAGTGTGGGGCACATAGACAGTAGGTGGGTTGAGTCACCCACTGACCCAGGCTTCAGTCTCAGGGCCACAGGAGTCAGGGGCCATCCCGCCATCAAGTGTGGCCCAGGCCAGGCCCATCTATGAGACTACATAACCACATACACTCATGAGCACAGGAGGCCTTTGCACCAGGGTTAAGGAGGGACCCAAAAGATTACAAAACAGCCTCAGAATGGTGCCAGGAGCCAGGAGCCAGCAAGCTGGACAGGTGCCCCTGTTCCCATTATGTAACAGTGAGCACAGCCTGGGGAGATGACCCAGGATGGCGGCCCAGCTGACTTTCTGCCTCTGCCCCACCATGCTGGCTCTCTCCCAACACAGTGAGCCTTGAGCCTCCCACCTTCTCAGCCCCCCTGCTTCCCTCAACCTACCCACCTTTCCACATTTGCCCAACCCTGGGCAACCACGCCAAGTAGACAGAGACCCCGTTTGTCCTGATGGCCTCTGCAGTGTCTCACCAGTTGGTCTCATCTACACTCTAGGTAAGTTAGGGGTCAAAGAAGTTATTTGGGAGTGCTCCCATGGCAGGTGGGGAGAGGCAAGGGAGCACTCTTGGAACCCACCCGACTCATCTTGGAAAGTCTCTACCATTGAGTACCCTAGATCTCCCACCTTAAGTGGCCCAGCAGCCATGGCTGGACCCTTAAGGGCAGACCAGTCTGTACTTTCAAAGCCGTGGTTTACCATGTTGTTCCCAGACCTGGGTGAGGTCAGGAAAGCATGGAGGCCTTGTGGCCCTTCTGCTGTGTGATCCCTGACTTCTCGGGCCTAGATCCCAACCCGACTGCCCGTTGTGGAAGGCTCATGCTTTGGACTGGGCTCAGGACACGAGGGAACCCGGGACTCCATGGGACTCCTCTGCTGCCACAACACGACTCACCTGTGGTTTCGTTCTCCAGCTGGGCCTCCTCCAGGCACTGCCTGCGCTCTGTCTCAATCATCTGCAGGTACTCACACTCCTGCTGCGGGCTGGCTGCCCGGCTGCCCTGAGGACAAAGCAGACAGAGATGTCAGCCTCATCTGCAGACTTGAGGAGCAGGGGCCAGATCGGGGCCAGCCAAGGCTGAGCTAGCTCTCCTCCCAAGGATCTGAGCTCCACACCGGATCTTCACCGTAGCCCCAGACTGAACCCCCACTCCAACCTCAGTCTCTAACCCATGCTAGGTCCAGACGAGCCCTTATCCCAGCTCCAGTTTGTACCTCACAACAGCCCCAGACAGTACCTGATCCTGTCCTGTGTGCCTAAAATTTTCTCACCGACCCCCAGGTTCTGCCTTGAGGACCCTCTCAGGCCTCTGCTCCTGAGCCATGCTGCTGCTCTAAGCACCCCAACTCTGGGTGAGACACAGCCCCAGGCAGAGGTCAAAGAGCCTTCGCTAGACTCTCTGCTGATCACTAACTAAGGTCTGCGACTCTGTCCCTGCCTCCGTCACCCTTGCGTGGATAATGCCACGCTAGTGATTCCCTGTTAGAGGATGCTGGACACCAGCCCTGAGCTCCTGTGGCCAAGCCCAGGCAGAACGAAGGAGTCTGGCTGCAGTATCTCCTCCGTCTGCAGATCCTCTGTTCATTCCTGCTCATGCAGTTGGGACAGGAATACTGACCCTTTTCTCCCAGACCTCACCATCTCCTTCACCACAGAAAAAGCTAAGGCAGATTCCACGAGGACCAGGGAGGTGTGAGTAAGTAAGTGACACCCCACAAGAAGTCCCAAGGCCCCACCAGCCCCCTGATCCTCTAGGAAGTCAGAGAGGGATTGGAGAAGCCCTTGCTTTTCTCCTGGATGCCAGCATGTCCTGGCTCAGGATCAGGGTTGAGTGACAGGCACAAGGCAGTACATGCATGGCACTGGGGTAGATATGGGCTTGGGTGGTAGCTGCCTGGGGTCACGGGGAAAGCGGCAGGCCTTGGGGGTTTGTGGGTATGTAGAAGATGAAAGTCTCTGTGGGTAAGCAACCCAACAGGACAGCTTGGGTCTGCCTCTGTCTTTAGGAAGTGACCACCACGCCTGGCAATCCAGTCTCCACGAGGGCCCGGGAAAAGCTCCGGAGGGGGACCTCACAGTTGGTTGCCGGGTCTCCCTTTCATCGTTCTTACCGTCTCAGTCTCTGCATGGAAAATCGACATCAGTCAGTCCCCACTCCACCCCCGACTCAGCCCTGTTGACAGAAGCCTAGCAAAACAACATAGACATGGGACCTTCATTTACTTCATCCCTCCAAGGGGAACCCTTAGCCTGTAGCATCCAAGTACACAGAACTCCAACAGTGGTCTAAATGAGTCAATACCAGCAGACAGCTGGGCACTCTCCACTACCATCAAGAGAGAGGTCTAAGCTGAGGCTTGGCCACTGTGTCCCTCCCACCCCAGCAGGTTTCTCATTCCTGTGAGCTGTGAGCGTCATCATTTCCCAGGCCACCAACGGTCCAGCCAGCATTGTTTGTCCTAGTCCAGGTCCATGGGAAGACCTCCTCCTCCTCCTCCTCCTCCTCCTCGTCCTCCGCATGTCCCTGCCATCCAGACCTCACATACCGAACAAAGGTACCCAGTCAGCTGGAGTCCAGACACAGTTGCTAAGTCCCTTTCAACTTGACAAGGAGCACGGGGCTGTCATGGAGCATCGTTCGCCAGCACCATTGAAAGAAAAGGCAGCTCCAGGGAGACCCAGCAGCTGTGTCCCCTTAGGGATCGTGAGCGTCACCTCTTTCAGCCAGAAAGCTTGTAGTGATAAGGCTTAGGGATCCATCCTCAGGTGTGGGGAGTGGGGTAGTCAGGAAGTCGGGACGGGCCAGCCACCTTGCTTGCATAGGAGCACACAGCTTCTCCTTGGTACCCTCCCAGGCCCAGTCTACCAACAGCTGGGTGCCTTTGGAGTTTTGGCCTCATCCACTGAGCTGTGACATGAAGGCAGGATGGGGACAGGTGGCTGCCTGCTGTGTCTGTGTACGAGCCTACTCACAAGCTTTCCTGTTGAAGGAGGCTGCTGGTTGGTGCCCAGCTAGCTCAGTTGGTAGAGCAGAGCATTAGACTCTTAATCTCAGGGTCGTGGGTTTGGGTCCGACGTTGGGTGCCAATTTGTTATAATGAGGAGGCCGCTTGTTCGTTTCCTGGCTGCCCAGCCCCGAAATAATCACACAAAAACTATATTACTTAAATCACTGTTTGGCCCATCAGCTCTAGTTTCTTATTTGCTAACTCTTACATCTTAATTTAACCCATCTCCATTAATCTGTGCATCACCATCAGGTTGTGAAACCAGCAAAGTTTCATATGTCTGTCTCTGGCAGTGCCTCCATGGCTTCTCCTGACTCTGCCTCCTATCTCCCAGCAATCAGTTTAGTTTTCCCCACCTACCTCTCTTCCCTGTGCAGGCCCGAGACAGTTTCTTTATTAATCAATGGTATTCACAGCATACAGAGGGGAATCCCCCATCACTTTCCCTTCCTCTGGTGCCAGGTTCTCATTAGAGAACCCCGGCCCCATCACTGCTCCTGGTGAACCCTCTTGCAGAGGACTGGAGTGACCAAGACTTAAGACAACCAGCATTCCCGCCTCAGTGCCTGGCACCTGGCCCAAGCCAGGCTTCTCTGAGCCAGAAGGCTCACACTCCTGGGAGTTTGGATTAAGCTAGGAAGCAAATGGGTTTACTTTTCCCCCACTGAATTGGAAAAACCTCAAAGGAGCAGAGGCTGGGGCTTCTGTGGTAATCTTGTTGACGAACAGAATGTGAAGATGAGACCACCGAGGGGAGTGGCAGGATGGAGACAGAGAAAATCCAGAGGTGCCTGGAGTGAAGGCAGGCTATATTTGAAACCAGATCTTCCCACAACAAGAGCTAATAGTTTTGTTTATGGTTGAAGCTGGTTAATTTTCCCATCTCAGGAACCCAAAGTGCCCATTCTTGCAGGCTGAGGACAGAAAAGTGGCTGTCCCTCACTTTTGGGGTCTTCTTAAGCCAGAGTAATAGCCAAACAGATTTCTAAGTGGTGTTCCATATTTGTGTGTGTGTGTGTGCATGCACATGCATGCGTATGGGCACATGTACAAATATATAAATGTGTTCATAGAGGCCAGAGATAACCCAAGGTGCTGTTCCTCAGGTATTATCCACCTTATTTTTTGAAACAGGGCTCTCGCTGGCCTAGAATGTGCCAAAGAAACTGGACTGGCTGGCTTGCAAGCCCCAGAAATTCACCTGTCTCCAACCCCCCAGCACTGAGATTTCAAGTTCCTGCCAGCCACCCATTTCTTCTCCCTCCCTCCCTCCCTCCCTCCCTCCCTCCCTCCCTCCCTCCC